AGGCCCAGCACCTCAGGAGGCTGAAGCGGGGAATTGCTTGAAACCTGGAGGCAGAGGTTGCGGTGAGCTGAGATCACACCACTGCACTCCAGCCTGGGCAACAGAGTGAGACTCCATCTGTAAAAATAAAGTAATTCTAGATAACCTGATGTCTTATCAGAAAACACTGTAGCATGCTTTTTTAACAGAACTTTTTTTTTTCCTTTTTGAGAAAGGGTCTTACTCTATCACCCAGGCTGGAATACAGTGGCATGATCACAGCTCACGGCAGCCTTGACCTCTCAGGCTCAAGTGATAAATTATCCAGCTAATTTTTGTACTTGTAGAGTCAGGTTTCGCCATGTTGCCCAGGCTGGTCTTGAACTCCTGGGCTCAAGCAATCCTCCTGCCTGAGGATCTGAGTGCTGAGATTACAGGCATGAGCCACCACACCTGCCCTAAAGGACATTTTAAAATCATAAATAGAATATCATTATTTTAAACATAACTAGAATATCATCATTCTAGTAATTATTTTAAACATAACTAGAACACCATTATAATATCTAATAAATAATTCCCTAAAATAACCCAATTTTCAGTCCATATCCACATATCTCCATTTATTGCTGGTTTGTTCAAACCAACATCCAAACATTGCATTTGATTGTTATGCTTCAAACGTCTCCTTTACTCTAGAACAGTCCTAACAATTTTTTTTTCTTATTATAATATGAAGAGAGTAGGCCAATTGTCCTGTCGAAAATTAATTTGCATTTTTCACACTATGTGAGCCTGAATATCTTTTCCATGTACTTATTTATCATATGCAAACTGTTTATTAATATCTTTCATCCACTTATCTATAGAGGTTTTGGTTTTAATTATGAAAATAAATTTGTTGGTTTCTTCCAGGTTTTTTTTGTTTTTGTTTTTGAGACAGAGTCTCACTCTTGTCACCCAGGCTGGAGTGCAGTGGCGCGTTATGGGGAGAGCCTAAAAAAAAATTTAATTTTTAATTTTAAAAATAAAAAATAAAGGAGATTAGGACATTGACGCACACCGAGGAAAGACAGCACCCATCTGCAAGCCAAGGAGAGAGGGAGGCAGGCCTTAGAAGAAATCAACCGTGTCAAGACCTTTATCTTGGGCCTCTGGCCGCCAGAATTATGACAAAATAAATTTATTGTTTACAGACAGCTATCCTGTCTGTAGTATGTAATTATAGCAGCCCTAGCAATACATTGTATGATCTTGAATAAATTAAATTTTTCTAAAGCTCAGTTTCCTCAACTATGAAATGGAGATAAATAACATATGCCTCATGAGGTTGTTGTGAGAATTAAATAATGTATGTAAAGCTCATAGCATAGTAAGAACTAAATAAATTCCAGCTATTATTCTTAGGAAGATTAAATGAGGTTATGCATGTAAAGCATTTAGCTCAGCCTCTAGTACACAAGAAAGTTCTACTAAGTATTAGCTTTTTAAAGAAATTTTCATTTCCTAAAGGGTTACATTATATTTTTTCTATCTCCAAAGTATTTCCTTTAAGACCTAGTCTAATTTATTTGTGCCATAATTAAGTCAGATGTAACAGGCTTTGTACCACTGAAACAGTTTAAGCAATCCTATCCAACAAACATTTATCGAGCACCTACATTTTGTTAGATTTATTTCCAACTACTTGATATGCTTTGGTGTTATTATAAATGCTACCTTATCAAAAAATTTTATTTATAGTTGTTTGAAGCTCTTTTATAAACATGAAATTTATTTCATATGCTATTTTCTATCAGTCTTGCTAGGCTTTGTAGTAAGGTAAAATTTTTATCGTGTAGTTTCTTCTAACTTTTAAAATATTCATAATCAAATTACACGCAATTAATGAGATTTTGGGTTTTTTCTTTCTAAACTTTACATCTTTTGATGAAAAAAATAAAATGTGTCAATTTTCTCTCTCTCTCTCTCTTTTTTTTTTTTTCCAGACGGAGTCTCACTCTGTCACCCAGGCTGGAGTTCAGTGGCGCGATCTCGGCTCACTGCAACCTCCGCCTCCTGGGTTCAAGCGACTCTTGTGCCTCAGCCTCCCAAGTAGCTGGGACTACAGGCGCCTGCGACCACGCCTGGTTAATTTTTTACTCTTTTTTTTTTTTTTTTTTTTAATAGGGACGAGGTTTCGCTATTTTGCTCAGGTTGGTCTATAACAGGTACTATTCTATCCTAACAATATGTTTCTAAATGATATTGGTGCCAAAATCAGGATTACCCAGTGATTTTGTTAATACATGCTTATTGAATCAGAAGGTCTAGGGTGGGGAATTTGCTTAAGTATGCAGTCCCCATACTTGGTGATTCTCATGCAGCCAAACATTTGGGCGCCCCTCACCCAATCTCACCAAGAACCAGAAGACCAATTAGCATTTTCGTGGGCTTCCTGCCCCATGATACCCTCTGTTCCCAAAGGGTTTTTGCAGTTTCACGGAACTTTTTCACATTCCACTCGGTTTTTTTTTTTTAAGACGAGTCTGTCACCCAGGCTGGAGTGCACTGGCGCGATCTCGGCTCACTGCAAGCTCCGCCTCCCGGGTTCACACCATTCTCTGCCTCAACCTCAACCATTTTATTTTTTTTTTTAAGACCACTCTGTCACCCAGGCTGGAGAATGGTTCACACCTCATAGAATGGTACTCAGCCTCCCGAGTAGCTGGGACTACAGGCGCCCACCACCACGCCCGGCTAATTTTTTGTTTTTGTTTCTTTTTTCAGTAGAGACGGGGTTTCACCGCGTTAGCCAGGATGGTCTCGATCTTCTGACCTTATGATCTGCCCGCCTCGGCCTTCCAAAGTGCTGGGATTACAGGCGTGAGCCACCGCGCCCGGCCTGGTTGTGTTTTTGTTTGTTTTTTTTTTTTTCAAAAATGGGCGGGGGAGAGTAGTCTGAATTGGGTTATGAGGTCCCCTCCGGGGTACCTCACCTCAGCCATTGAACTCACTTCGCCGGCCGTGAGTCTGTTCCAAGCTCCGGCAAAGGAGGCATCCGCCGGGCCCCTCCCCGAAGGGCGGGGTCCACGGCATCTCCTGCCCAGTCTGACCTCGCGCGGAGCCCCATTCTCTGGGAACTCACCTCCCCGAAGATCAGGGAGAGCCCTGTTAGGGCCGCCTCTGGCCCTAGTCTCAGACCTTCCCAAGGGACATGGGAGTGGAGTGACAGGACGCACTCAGCTCGTGGCCCCACTGATGAGCTTCCCTCCGCCCTATGGGGAAAGGTGGTCCCACACAGAACTTATAAGATTCCCATACTCAAAGACATTTCTCGTTTATGGTGACTTCCCAGAAGACACAGCGACATGCAAATATTGTAGGGCGTCACACCCCTGTCCCTCACAGTCATCTTCCTGCCAGGGCGCACGCGCGCTGGATGTTCCCGCGTAGTGACCCTGGGCCCGCGATTCCTTGGAGCGGGTTGATGACGTCAGCGTTCGAATTCCATGGCGGCGCGGCGACGACGGAGCACCCGCGGAGGCAGAGTGAGAGGTTCGGAGCTCAGTATCGGGGGAGGGAATGCGGAAGCGAGGAGTCAGAAAAGGAACGATGCCACCTACTGTGACCCCCTTCATCTTCCACCTCCCCATAACCTGCACTTGGCTACCAAACCAGTTTGGGTGCTAAATTTTGTAAATTTAGGTTTTCAGAGCTTTGGGGATGACATAATTGTGCATAAAGCCTTGCAGAGCTGTAACAACTAATATGCCAGTACTGTTGTTAATACCTAATGTCATACGATTTACAAAAAGTAATTGTGAGGCACACCATTATTTTATACACAAGAAAGGATAAGCACTGAAAATGGTGAACTATGATTCACTGCTTATGCCATCCATTCTAAGATGGAGCCCAGTTCCAGAGGGTAAAATGCGAGTCTAGACCTATTGAGATACGGTATTATGTGTATAATGTTCTTAAGTGCATAGGTCCACCCTATAAATTAAGTACTAGTGTACTTCTCTAGAAGTACAGTATTGTACAATGTTCTAATATTGGAGCAAGTGAAGTAGGAAGAGATCAAACACTTCTCCAAGTTTCCACAGATAAAAGCAGCAGAGCTAGGCTCTAAATTAGGCACAGACCCTTGAGCAGTTTACTAACCTTTATCCCATACCGCCTCATGTATGAGTTGGGTATTTGGGGGACATTGGGACACAAGTAAACAAAACAGATAAGCAGGCCTCAGTCTATGAGCTTACAAGACTCCTGGGGCTCCCTTTTATTTTGTTTTATTTCATTTGGCTAGAATAGCAATTTAGGAAGAATTACACAGACTGTTACACAAGGGTAGTGTGGTGACAGTTTTTATTGACTCTTTGTAAACTTAGAAAATTATCTTAAACCGGCGGGGTGCGGTGGCTCAGGCCTGTAATCCCGCACTTTGGGAGGCCGAGGAGGGCAGATCACTTGAGGTCACGAGTTTGAGACCAGCCTGGCCAACATACTGAAACCCTGTCTCTACTAAAAATACAAAAATTAGCCGGGCATGGCGGCGAACGCCTGTAATCCAAACTACTTGGGAGGCTGAGGCATGAGAATCACTTGAACCCAGGAGGCAGAGGTTGCAGTGAGCGGAAATCGTACCACTGCACTCCAGCCTGGGCGACAGAGTGAGACTCCACCTTGAAAAAAAAAAAAAGAAAGAAAAGAGAAAGAATGATCTTAAACCATTTATTTAAAGGATTTTTTTCAATCCTTAAAATCTACACGTTTTCAGGTGTACTCATTCTTTGCTCATTTCCAAATTTTGTAGCATTAAATGAAAGCAAAAGAGTTAATAATGGCAACACGGCTCCAGAAGACTCTTCCCCTGCCAAGAAAACTCGCAGATGCCAGAGACAGGGGTCGAAAAAGATGCCTGTGACTGGAGGAAACTCTAATGAGGACAGG